CTGCACTGCATTCATCCACTCAGCCATGTGTTTATTAAAGGTAGGAGCAAGAGAGAGGAATGGAGAGTAGGCAGGAAGGGGAGGGGAGGCTGAGCTAACACATACGATGCTTACAGCAGTTATCTAGCAAAGATTGCTGAGCTGGAATATGTTAAAAACATAAACTAATGCAAGAGGAAACAGCAAAAGAACACAGACTCACGGCAGTGGGAGAATCCTAAAACCTGGCCCATGCTCCATCAAGGCATCGCTGGGCCCATCCAGTATGGAAGCCCCCCCCCACCCCTCCCAGCTTCCTCCTCTGATGCCGGCTCTCACGTCTTGTGGATACGTTCTCTCTCTCTTCCTCCTCCTCCTCCTCCTTCTGTTTCTTGGTCCTCTGTTGAGCAGCTCCTCTCTCTCCCGGCTCTGGCTCCGTCACTCAGCAGCCCCACCCTGCCTGCCTCACTCCACCATCCTCCTCCTCCCTTCATCTCCTCTGGCATAGTCATGGCTGCAGGGTTGTAATACGGCAAATCGACAGAAGCATGAGAGCGTGTCCCTGCGTCTGTCTGAGCCTGTTGTCGTCTCCCATTCATTCACAGCTCCTGTGTCTCTCTTCCTCCCTCGTCATGTGATTTCATCTCAGGATCCTATAGGGGCAGGCAGGAGGAGAGGCAGTAACAAGCCATTAATAATGAATTACTTGAACGTATACAAACATAAAGTAGGCAGTATAAAGCATAGCAGCATGTATGTTTTGCAAGATTTTACAATGTTTATATATACTATTGGTTAGTGTTTACCTATCTTAACTGTAAACACTTACAATTGATTTGCAGTTATTTTAAAATCTAATCATGCAAGACAAAAAAAACCCCAAAGTGCACATGGTAGACTTAAAGCTTTTTCTCAAATGGGAATGAAAGCAGTGTGGTACAGCATAAGAAGGGGGCAGCAGTGTGCAGCTAAAGGTGATAAAGAGCCATGTTTAATGCAAAAACAAGTTAGAAAAAGAAAATCAAAGGAAGGACAACGTGTGAGGCCTTTTGCTCTGATTTATTCTTTACATTTAATTTCAATGAAAACATCAGAAATACGTTGAACATGCAAGAAAGCAGAATTCAAGCAAGACAATAAAACTGTTCGATGTTCAATATTTATTTTACGAGTCAAAGGTGAAATCATCTGTTATTGATAAAGATTTACATTCAAGTTAATACAATCAGGTGTCTGTTGTGTGGTCTGGTATTACCAATACATAAAGGCTGATTCTGTAGTCTAGAAGTATTTAAAAAAGGCTCCTGTTAATCCTAAAAATAGGACACTATCACTTTAAATGAACATCAATGTGCCTGCTAAAATGACAGGATATTTGAACACAACAAAGCGATTCAATTCACTTTCAAGGTAAAAGACACATGCAAATGTCCGTCTTGTCATCGACCATTAGGACCATAGCTGGTTTTATCTCTGGTTTCATAGTGCATCACATTATGATCATGCCAATGGGTACTGTAGTGGAAAAATACCATCTGTCTGTTGCCTTCGTTTGACCTTAAAAGATTAGGATGTTCGTGCGTCATTTAGCAATTAAAAACTGTTTCTCTGTATGGCCTTGGTCTGTATCTCCAACAGGAACACTCCTCAGGATCTGGGTACAGCATGACCCTAAATCAGTGCCCTCCTGACAAAGGAGTTTCTGTTGGTGTTCCTCCGTACCAGGTACGTTATAGAAAGAAGCTTGCATAGATAAATCACCAGGCAAACTAGCAGAAGGCGTAGTCACAATGACGATGTATCACTCATGTATATGCAAAATACCTACACCCTGTGAAAGTATGAATATGCTCTGAAACCGGGACTGCCCCGGGAATCTTTGATGCACTTGTGACTGATGTTACTTTTGTAGCTGATTACCCCTTTTGCAAAATAACTTTTTACTATATGCAATAAAATACACAAAGACAAAAGACTTTGACTTGAGATCTTTCATTACCAACAGAAAAATCCACAACAGTACACATGCTACTATATCTTTGTTAGACCTAGCACATCATTGGGAATTACAGTAAATTATAAAAGGTACTGATGGATAGCCTCTAGAGATGAATCATCTCATTTCTGAGTGATGTGATGTAAACAACACAAGTGATGTAAACATATTCAACATACATAAAGGCTCTCTTTTATCAACCTACACACACACATTCACCACACCTACACAATGTAAACAGGGACTAGACATCACTAAACATATATTACACCAGTAATAATGACACTAATAAGAGTTATCGTAATGCTAAAGAAGATGACAAAGGTAACAGGAAGACATTACCATTGAAAGCAGGGGAAATTTTTGAAGAAAGCATAACAACAACTTTTTAAAGGGACCTTATGAGTTGATTGTTTATAGATCAGCTGGCAAATTGTTCCAGACGGAAGGAGCTTTGAACTTAAAGGCATGTATGCCAATTTCAATTATGGCATCTACTATGTTAAATAACTCATGAATCAATTAAAAAAAAAAAATTAAAAAAAGAAAATTAAATTAAAAAAAGTTTAAAAACTAGTTGTGTAAAAATATAATTCAGAGGTGATCAGAGTTAAAGACTCTTAACTAAGTTTTGCCCTTTAAATGTTTGTTTCTGAAATAGCTGACAGGTGGCTACCTCATGACCTGAGAGGTTGAGAAAGTTAAGAAATGATTTTCACAAACAGTATTTTTGTCCTGAGAATGGCTATGTATATTCAAATACATCTGCTAATTGGAGAGGTATAACCTACTGTATTTGATTTGTCAAAAAACAAATCTTGTTTGAAAAAAAAAAAAAAAAAAAAAAAAACTTCTGATACTTATGTTGAGCCGTAAGTAATATAACAAATGATAAAGGTCACACAGACTCCCACTTTCAGTGTTATCCTGTCTACTCTGTACGTGCTCCTTCTTGCGAGGGTTTATAAAGGTAAACAAACACACGCACTTCACATGAAACACTGCCCGCAGAGAGCAAAATGAGCTGATAAAGGGTTTAGCTCTGCTTATAACCGGATAATTATCACAACCTCAAGAGTTCCTACACCTAAACCAGGTCAAGAGCTCCAAAATACCCAGAAGTTAATGAGATTAAGACAGCAGCTGTTATGGTTGGACAACATGGAATCAGCAAGTCACAAACTGAATGAAGGTGGAGTTGGTCTGGTGGTTAACATGAAAGTTGAGGAAAATTGGCGTTAAACTTTATTTTTATATATTTGTATTTAAATGTTATAAAATTTCTCATCATTGAGTTATACAATTAAACAAGTATTAGTTTGTTCATTGAAAAGTAACTGTAAGTTAAAACTGTGTTATTGGCATTGGAGTCATAGAAGTGGCCTAATTTATTTAACCCTGTGAAGCACTTTGAATTTAAATGTATAAATGACGATTAATAAATAACCTTCCTTCACCTTGCCTTGCCTAAAACCATAACAATTATGAGTGGAGCATGTATAATTAAAGTAGCAGTAATAATAGGGGACCTACATTTGAGCCTTGAGGGATGCCATATTTAATGAGAGCAGTTGATGATGATCAGTTTCCAGTGCTAACTGAGTAGGTTCTGTCATTCAGGTGAGATTAGAACCCTTAAAGTTTCAGTCCTGCAGAACAACTTCATTCTCCATGTGTTTTAAGAGGAGGCCCCATGTACAGAGGCTACAGTCCGCGACACACTGATCGCTGGTTCGACTCCTGGACACAAATATTTGGTGCATGCCATCTCCTGGGCTCTACCACAACATTTTCTGTATCATTTAATCTTTCCAATGTCAAATAAAGATAAAGCTGCCAAAAAGTACCTGAAGAAGGGACGTTCTTTTTCCTTTTCGAAGCTTTGAAATCAGAATGGTATTTGTCAAGGTGTTGGATCTGTTCAACTGTTGGGAATCTCAGTGAAGAAAACTGTGCAAAGATCTAAAAATGGTCACTTGGAGATGGCCCTACGGTTGACTAAGATATTTAAGCCTTTTTCAAAGTTTTTTAGCTTTAGAGTTTGCAAAATTGCTTTTTTAAAACTGAATTGGACAAATACATTTCTGTACAGCTTTTTATTAATGTCAAAACTAGGGGGCAGTACGTGGCAAAAATGTTCCCTGAATATGTGTCATGGTAAATGGGATTGATTTGTAAGACAAACTCAGACAGCTGGCGGGATGACACTGGGTAAAAGTGCTGGACAAAAAGAGAAAAAAGGATGATCAAGCAATATGAATGAGAGCACCAGAGCAGCTATTAAATTGACATTGTCCCTGGGTTGTTGGGTCCAATATTCTCCCTATGTCAAGAATGAATGAGTTGTGGACCTTAATTCGTATTTAAAAAAATAATATATAATTATATTTTACATTGACAAAAAGGCCCTTACAAATGCAGTAGAAGTGACCAGTATTGTTTTCTTTGTCTATTGTGATTGCCCAAAATTATTAGCAAAATTCTGAATGACATCACACAACAAGTTGTTTTTAAGTTTCTTCTTGTAGATACAATCCATATATAGACATGCAAGACTAATTACAGCATTTCTCTTTGTTGAGTTAAACAGGTGCTCATAATCCATGCATTAGTGCAGACCCAGGTCATGTGGCTGCCTCGATAGCCAGGTGATTATCAAGCAGAGTTACAAAGACGGAGGGAGGGAGGGCAGAGGGATAAATCAATAAAAATAGACAGGCCAATAGAAGCGCAGGGCTAATGCTGGATCGGTAAAGAAGAGAAGGAGGGAGAAACAGACACAGAAACAGACAGACGCAAAGAGGAAGACACACTATGGTCCAATTGTAAAATAAAAAGGACAGAAGAAGGATTCTTGGACTCTACCCCACATGGTAAGGGATGTAAAGATGGCCCTGTTCAGTTTAAACAGAAAAACTACTCAGTTTTTCATTTAAGAGGATAATCCTTATTTTAAGTTACTTTTTGTTTACCTGCTTGGGGAGTTACAGCCTAACTGTTGCACTGGACCTGCTGCGGAAAACACAGGGCCGGAGGAGGGGCACCAGGAGGAGACGTGCTGCTGCCAGGCCAAAGAGGAAGCTCGAGAACAGGCTCCGTGGTGTGATGAGGACAGCCAGGCGTGCCAGCAATGTGGAGGTGCCTTCCTTCCTCCGTCAGCTGGTCAAAGAGACAGAGAAGGTGGTCACCTTCTTCTTCAAAGGGGGACCTAGGGAAAGGGAGAATGGAGAGGAGGACAATTTTGATGAGGACAACTCCATGCCCAGCCCGTACCTGGACCGCCCCATCCTGGAGAAACATGTGTCCGAGGGGGGGTCTCAGACGGGCTTAAACTACGCGCTGGCAAGTATGCAAGGCTGGAGGGCTCAGATGGAGGATGCCCACGCCTGCATGCCCCAGCTGAACGGAGAGCTGAAGGAGTGGGCATACTTTGCTGTTTTTGATGGACATGCAGGCACCACAGTGGCACAGTACTGCTCCAAAAACCTGCTGGATCACATCCTGGCAACTGGTAAGAAACAATAAATTAATTAATAAGATGAATCTCATTCATAAGGATAATTTAATTACTTCTGATATCCCTTTTAATTGTTTGTTTGGAAAGGATGTACGTCCTATGGCTTAAGGACGTTTAGCTCTTGTTCAGCTTAAATGCACTTACAGTAAGTAGTTCTGGTCTGGGGGAAGTTATTTAAGAACAAAACCAAAAAAAATCTTGTGCATTAATGATGAGTACATTGTATTTTACTCAAAGTGAAGAGCAATACAGTGACAATAAGACTTAAAGAGCCCATATTCTGCCCTTTTTAGGGTTCGTATATTTAATCTATGTACCTACTTTTGTACGTTCACAATAGCTAAAGTTAAAAAAAAGTGTCTTTTTTTATGTACTGCTCCTCCTTGCTCCCTCTATGCTCTGAGTCTGTCAGCTGCACTCTGTTGAGCCCACACTGTTAGACCCCACGTGGGCCAAGTCTGCTCTGATTGGTCTGCCGATCCGCTCTGTCGTTATTGGTCAGTTGCTCAGAGCACGTCTCGGAAATTTCAACATGAGCTGCAGGGCTTGCCACAATGAGCCAATGGGCTTAGATCAGTGATCTCACACTGACAATGACGCCGCACTGACACATTTTTTTGGAGGGGGGCTAGAACCGCGTTTCCGCGGACTTTGAATTTTTGCACATAGATGTGCCTAAACATGCACAGGACACTTGGAAAACACACTAAAGAGCATATAAAACCAGAAAAAGCATAATATGGGACCTTTAAATGATAAAGGTTTATAGGCAAACTAATACTCCAATACACGGAAAGAGACTGAACATAGCGTCCTCAAGAGAAGCTGCTTGAGAGCAGATTTACTATAGCTAAAAAAAAAGATTAGTTTCGAGGGTGTAGCTACCTTGTTAAACTAGCATAGCAGAGTTTATAAAGACTGATGAAAGCTCATAATACAAATAATGTATTTTTCAGAATTGCAATCCCAACTCTGTGTTTATCAAAGTAATAAAGACCGTTCAGGAAAAACAGTACAAGTGCTAACATTCATTCAGATGTCCAGTTTTCTACCAGACATAAAGGGCTTTGGAGAGATTTGTTTGCTATGTGAAGTAAAGTTTTCAATCGTAATCACATTTGAGGGCCATTCTGTGAAGCTTGTTGTAGCTGTTTCTGTTTCAGTCAAGTTTTTTGTAGGCTCTCTTCCTTACGATCTAAAAGTTTACAAATAACCAGCTCTTGTATGCATTTTCTAATCTTAAAATCAGTACCATTGTGTGGGGCAATTTTTAGCCAACATATTAATCCAAACACGGAGGTGATGTTCTGGAGACAGATTTTTCAAATGTAAAACACACCGATACTAATTTATATCCAACTTGGGTCAATGTTTGTTGTCCTCTATGTCAGTGCTGAAAAACTAAATAACTGTATTCGAACCATTTCCAACAGGTGTGATCAAAACTAGTGAGGATCCCGGGCAGGTGAAGGAGGGGATCCGTGAAGGCTTCCTCGACATTGATCTCCACATGCACAAATTGGCTCGCCAGGACAACTGGGACCGCAGTGGCACCACCGCCGCATCTGTCATGATCTCACCGCGCCACATTTACTTTATCAACTGTGGGGACTCACGCACGCTGCTCTGCCGGAACGGCCAGGTCGTCTTCTACACCGAGGACCACAAACCGTTCAACCCCAGAGAAAAGGAGCGCATCCAGAATGCTGGAGGCTCCGTGACCCTGCAGAGAGTCAACGGCTCACTGGCTGTTTCCAGGGCGCTGGGGGACTTTGACTTCAAGGAGGTGGACTGGAGACCTCCAACAGAGCAGCTGGTGTCGCCAGAGCCAGAGGTGTATGAGCTGGAGAGGACGCCTGAAGATGAGTTCCTTATTCTAGCATGCGATGGCGTGTGGGACGCCATTGGTAACGAGGAACTGTGTGCCTTTGTGCGCAGCCGTCTGCAGGTGTGCGATGACCTGAGAGAGATCTGTACTCAGGTCATTGACCT